GGCCAAGGTCAGCCACTGCCTGTGTTCTGCTCCAGGGCCACCAGGCATAAACTACAAAGTGATTTGCAGATGGCTGCTTCTTGTGTTGGGCTTGTAGGTGCCCAGGTGAGACCAAGCTGTGAACCAAGACTGGCTGAGGCTAGTGTCAGGCCTGGGGCCACTTAGGTATTGGGCTCACTGAGGACAGATGCTGCATGTTTGAGAGATTTTAGGAAGATCTGAAGCATGAGTCAAGACAGGCCATTATGGTAAAGCCACTGGAAATAGCTTGGGTGGGCCAGAAAGTTAGATGGAGTGGAGATCTCAGGGAATCACCAGGGGCAGGCAAACAGTGATAGCCAAGTTGATGGAGACTCAGATATGATGCCTGTCTGCTGGCTCTGTGGGGAAAGAGCTCATCAAAGAAAACATTGGCCTCTGCCAGCACTTCTGTCAGGGAGAAAGCTGCCCCTCCAGCTCTCACCCTGATGCCAAACAATTCAGTTCCTCCACCTACATCGCTGGTGCCTTTCAAGCTGCTGTCACTGTGTTCAGAGGGAGTGAGTCTGAGTAAGTCCATGCATGGGCTCTTTAAGAGGAATTGCCTGGGACTCCAGCAGCCTCAGCCTCCCTTAGCCTCAATTCCCACTGATTTTTATAGCCAGAAGTTAAAGGCACTTCTCTTCCTAGGGCTGGAACCCTAAGCTGGAGGCCTAGTGTGGGACTGGGACCCCCTCACTCCTCAGGGGGGGCCTCCAGAGCCAAGGTTTCCCTTCTGATTTTTATCCACCACATGTGGGTGTGGGACCAGTCCTTTCTGTGCTTCTGCCCCTCCTGCAAATCTCAATGTGGCTTCTTTTATAATTTTGTAGTTGTAGAACTTCTATCCAGCTTGATTTCAGGCAGTTCTGAATGATGGTTTAGTTCCATGGCCGGCAAACTGCAGCTCGCAAGCCACATGTGGCTCTTTGGCCCCTTGAGTGTGGCTCTTCCACAAAATACCATGTGCGGGCGTGCACGTACAGTGCGATTGAAACTTCGTGGCCCATGCGCAGAAGTCCGTATTTTGTGGAAGAGCCACACTCAAGGGGCCAAAGAGCCACATGTGGCTCAGGAGCCACAGTTTGCCAAGCCGCAGTTTGCCAACCACTGGTTTAGTTGTAATTTTGTAGTTTACTTGTAATTTTAATGTGGTTGTGGGAGGAGGTGAGTACCGCATTTACCTGTACCACCATTTTGGCCAGAAGTACCTAAACCAAATTGTTTTAAAAATTTCCTTTTCATTCTTTGTTGTTAGTATATAGATATATGACTCATATTTGTGTGATGTTGTATCCTATAACTTCGCTGAATTAATTTATTTGTGTTAACAGGTATTTGTGTGGAAACTTTAGTGTTAATACATATAGGATCATCATCTGTGAACAGAGTTAATTTTACTTCTTTCTTTCCAATTTGGATGCCTTTTCTTTCTTTTTCTTGTCTAATTGTTCTGGCTAGAACTTCTAATACTATGTTGAATGGAAATGGCAAAAGCTTGCATTCTGTTGTCTTCCTGATCTTAGAGGATAAGCATTGAGTGTGATGCTAGCTATGGTTTTTTCATATAAAACTTTTATTATGTTGAGGCAGTTTCTTTTTATTTTTAGTTTGTTGAGTATTTTATTATGAAAAGGTGTGGAATTTTGTCAAATGCTTGTTCTTTTTTAAATATGTATTTTTATTGATTTCAGAGAGGAAGGGAGAGGGAAAGAGAGTTAGAAACATCAATGATGAGAGAGAATCATTGATGGGCTGCCTCCTGCATGCCCCTTACTGGGGATTGAGCCCACAACTGGGGCATGTGCCCTTGACCAGAATGGAACCCGGGACCCTCTATTTACTGAGCCAAACCAGTTAAGGCTCAAATGTTTTTTCTGCATCAGTTAAAGTGATCATGTTTTTCCCCTTGCTTCATTTTGTTAACATAGTGCATTATTTTGATTGATTTTCACTTGTTGAACCACCCTTGCATTCCAGGAATAAATCCACTTGGTCATGGCACATAATCCTTTTAATATGCTGCTGAATTGTGTTTTGCCAATGTTTGTAGAAGATTTTTATGACAATATACATAAGGGATATTGGTCTTAAGTTTTCTTTTAATGTCTTTGTTTGGCTTTGGATTCATAGAATGAGTTAGGAAATATTCTTTTCTCTTCAGTTTTCTGGAAGAATTTGAGAAAGACTGGTGTTGATTCTACTTTAAATACTTGGTAGAATTCACCAGTCTAGTCATCTAGTCCAGGGCTTTTCTCTGTTGTGAGGTTTTTGATTACTAATTCAATTCTCCTGTTAGTTATAGGTTTATTCAGATTTTATATTTCTTCATGATTCAGTACTGTTTGGTTTTGTGTTTCTAGAAATTTGTTCATTTGATCTGTTATTCAATTTGTTTGCATACAATTCATAGTACTGTTTTTTAAATATCTATAAAAACAGTAGTAATGTACCCATTTCATACTGCTTTTAGGAATTTGAACCTTTTCTCTTTTTTTAAGTCAATCTAGTTAAAGGTTTATCAATTCTAGTGAAAGGTTTATCAATTCTGTTGCTCTTTTCAAAGAACCAACTTTATGTTTCATTGATTTCTATTGTTTTTCTATTAACTTTTCTTCACTCTTTATTATTATTATTTCCTTCCATCTGCTAGCTTTGAGTTTAGTTTGCTCTTCTTTTTCTAGTCCTTAAGATCTCCATTAGGTTATTCTGTGGCACGCCCCAGACTCTGACAGGAGGAAGATTTTCATATACATTTTACTAATTTTCTTTCATCTCTGACACTTCTATTATAGAGAAAGGGCAAATAGCAACATGAAAATATTTCTTCCAATTAATTCCCTTTTAATGTGCATAGATTTCATGCACCGGGTCACTAGTTTAGAGATAAAGCCTAGCACTTTTATTTTTTTTAAAATATATTTTATTGATTTTTTACAGAGAGGAAGGGAGAGGAATAGAGAGTTAGAAACATCGATGAGAGAGAAACATCGATCAGCTGCCTCCTGCACATCTCCTACTGGGGATGTGCCCGCAACCCAGGTACATGCCCTTGACCGGAATCGAACCTGGCACCTTTCAGTCCGCAGGCCGACGCTCTATCCACTGAGCCAAACCGGTTTCGGCAGGCCTAGCACTTTTATGCTCCCCATTTAACCTGTGCCAGGCTAAGTGCACAACAGTGTCTACGCTATGAGTGATACTTGCAATTCGAACAAACTTGTGAGTCCAACACTGGGGGTCCTTTTGCCTTCAATGCTGTTTTGCACCAGAAACATTGAATTTCCTCCCCTCTGAAATGTAAACTCTATGTAAATGTAAACTGCAACTGTAAGAAAAATCAGTAGCATTTGACAAAGAACTTGTTCCAAGGACCAGTCTCCCTCTTAAACAAACTAACTGGTTGAAAAGGGAATCAAGTCCCCTAACAAATAAACAACAGCAGCGCCTTTAACAAACTGGGGTGGCAACCCCAGTAATTATGTCAGGGAGGCCGCCAAACAGAGAAAACAGAACTCAGGCTCCAAGCTGTGACACTAGGAACTCTTTCATCTCACGGAATGGGGTCACCACTTCTTTGCCCGCCTTGCAGGGTTTTGTGAAGATTAAAGAATGCAGGTGGAGCATAAAAACTATAAAATGCCCTGCCTCACTCATCACACGGGCCACGTACAGAGTAATGTGCATCATGTAGACACAGTGCATAAGCTGGGCTGTTCTAACTTGTACCAGTGAATCACCTAGTGTCATGCTTCTGATATTCTCGTGTATTTTACTAGAAGAAAATGAAATGTTAGATGTCAAGGTTTGTGCAGCAGCACATCAGCTCCTGGTATAACGTACGCTGGGTAAGGATGCTCTTTGGGCTATAGCCAGCAAAATTGGCATGCAAACGTCTCAAACGGGAGGAGGGACCAGCTTCTCATCTGAGGCCTGGGTGCAGGTGGCAAAAGACTCTCCTGATCTCTACTCTTATCGTTCCCAGATATTCCATAGTAACCTGGACTATATCCAACAACTTAGCCTTTGAACTCTATTTATCTTACCCTAGTCCAGCGGTTCTCAACCTGTGGGTCAGGACCCCTTTGGCGGTCGAACAACCCTTTCACAGGGGTCGCCTAAGACCATCCTGCTTATCAGATATTTACATTACGATTCATAACAGTAGCAACATTACAGTTATGAAGTAGCAACGAAAATAATGTTATGGTTGGGTCACAACATGAGGAACTGCATTTAAAGGGCCAGAAGGTTGAGAACCACTGCCCTAGTCCCTTCATTCTACTGAACTTGTCTTTGGAAGCCACGCCTTCATCTTTCATCAGAGGGTCCAAAGACAAATCATCAGTCCACTGTTGCAATGACTATGCTGTCAGGGTTTAGTCGAGGACGTTACCCCGGTGCCCCCTCCGTGAAGGGATGAAGATGACATTTCTTTCTGACTGACAGGAAGGACTCTGCTCTCCTCGATGAAGCATGATTTTGTCTCTGTGAACAATGAGAATCAGAATCATGGAGCAGGGAACTGGCTTTTCTTCTCCATGAATGACCTTATGTTGTTATGAATTATTATTCTTTAATCCTCACCCGACATGTTTATTGATTTTTAAAGAAAGGATGGGGAATGGGGGGAGGGAGGGAGGGAGGGAGAGAGAGAGATAGAGAGAGAGAGAAAGCATTGACCAGCTGCCTCCCATACACACCCTGACCAGAGATCAAACCCCACAGCCTTTTGGTGCACGGACCAACATTCCAACTAACTGAGCTCCCCGGCCAGGGCTGAGTTATTTTTTTCATCTTAAATCCAAGGGCAGGAAAAATAACACTCAGTTTAAGTTATCAGCTCATTTTAAAATTAGTGCTTGAAAAAAATAACCCACTAGTGGTTTTAATAAGCATATAAGACTAAATACTTTTTTAAATCTTTAAAGAAAACAACAATTTTTTTTAATTGAAAGAAATAGTAGTACTGATTTTGAAAATACTGTTGCTGTCACAGTGGTTTATTGGGTAAATAGGAAGTAGCGGCTCTTGCTTTTTTGTGTTTTTGTTTAAAGCAAAGCCAAAGAGATTAGAAACCAAGTACACATATGTCTTTAGAATAAAAACATAAATTAGTTTTAACTAACAATTAGGCACTGAAAATGTAAATGTAAAATGGCATTTTGAAGTACAAACTATAGTTACACTTCTAAATTCCTCCTGAAATGTTTTTACAAATATAAAAGCACAAGCATGAAAAATATACTTCTAAACAAAGATAATTTCCTCTTTAAAAAAAAGGACCTGAATTCAAACCCCATATGATAGACTAATGATTAAGGTACTGGTGGGTAGGAGAAAAGAGCTTCTGAAAATCACATATCTGATTAAAACATAAGCATTTAATAAAGCTATTACAATAACATACAGTATATATCATAATGAAAAATATATGTCAGGAAAATAATGCATTCTAGGCTTAAAATTTTACTTTACAACAAGGCACTTAACACATTGAAACAGTACAGTAAATTTCTGAAAGAATACAATAGGCTACACCTCTCAAACCTCATAATAATATTTCTTTTGTGAATATACCATAACATAACCATACATTTTGCAGCATTAATCATTGCATAGGAGTTAAATTAAATAATAAATCCCAACTTGGCAACTAGATTAGCTTATATTTATAGCTTCCTCTTATTCTTTTAAAGGACAATTTTAAATAATTTCAGAATAAAGAACTAGTCTCATTCATAATTCATTTAGAATACAGCATAGTTAAATTAATGAATAACAAAACAAATCCCAACTTATAAGGTGTAAATCTATATAAAAACTTATCTTTGGGCACCTTAGACACAATTTTCAGTGTTTAGGTATTGAAGTCAAGAGCACTTCTTAATAGACAAAATATTTTCAGCAAGTCAAATGAGTTAAATTATTGCAACACAATGACATTAAACAAAAATGCTAGGAATCTTTATACATACAAACAGAAAAACCTTCAACACATAGCATATTACTTTTAATATGCTTGATTTAAACATGCAAACACATTTATTATGAAATTCCTTCTTACACTTCCTAACACTACAGAAGTGTGCTAAGACCGGCTTAAATTTTTAATCGGTTTTACAGTGCAAAACAAAAATAAACAATATAAAAATAATTCAAAAATGTTCAAAATATTCAAGGAACAAGATGTGATAAAAAAAAAGAAACTGCATGAGTTCTATCTAACATGTAAAATGAAAAAAGGCAGCCAACTTGGTGTTTCAAAGTAAACAAAGTGTCGGTAGTTATAAAGGGAGACATTAATGATTGTGATGGTGAGAGGTAAAAATGGTCTGCAAATTTTCTTTGATCAAATGGATAAAAGATTAGAATTGCAACTCCTTGTGATCTAAGTACATTTTCCCTTTGGGAAAGGTTTAAAATACATTTAACACAATTCCATTTGCATTATGCTTTCAAGATTATTCGCAAAAAATAAATAAAAAACATATGCCTTTTAAAAACTTGAAAATACACTTTAAAAAATGGCAGGTTTGTGTTCAAAGTCATATAACATATTTCCACAAGGGGGCGCTGGTATACAGCCAAGAACCTAATGCAAAGTCATCCGTAAAGCAGACTAGAGACTCGCCCTCACTCCAGCCAGCCTTCCTTCCACAGCAAAACTTGTTTTCCAAGATGCCAGTAAATTAAATTAAAAATTCCAAATTACTTCCATTGGACTTGAGGAAGAATGCTTTATTTTCAGAGCTAGTGGAGGAGCTCCAAAATTATAATGAGAGGAATTCATTCCCATTTCAAAGAATTTAGAAAAAAAGTGTTATAACTTAGAGGAATTACATGTTATAGATACTGCACAGAGGACTAAATTATAGGAAAAGCTTCCAAGAGGAGCACAAGTTCACAAAAACAATAATCGATGTTATATATTGATTAAGCAGGAAAAGGAGCTCCAAAAGTTTACTGTTTGAGAGGCAAGATCGAAATTTTTTAAAACAGAGATATAAGTGACGTATTAGTTTCAGGTTTACAACATAATGATTTGCTATTTCTATAGACTGTGAAGTGATCACCACCCTACGTCTAGTAATTGTTCATGTTTCATACTCTAAAGTGGCAGGTTGGGTTAGACCTCAAGTTTGCTTTTCTAAATGTAAATGAGAGTCACTATCCTCACCTTCCCACCTTGAAACTTGATATTTCCCCCTCACCCTTATTCTGGTACCACATGCTCCCGCAGCGCCAATGACAGAGCTATGGCATACACTGTGAGGAGCATGGGAGCCGCCGTGTCCACAGGTGGAGTCAGAAGTCCTTTTAAAAGTTCTTGAAAAGGTGATGGCATTATTTAAAAACAAAACTAGTTACCTGACTAAAATGCAAGGTTTACTATTTCGAGGGCCTCCAGCAATCAACGCGCCAGGATTTTAAAAGCTTAAATACGTTCCCTAATTTAATTTGATGAAGAGTGGGCTATCTACAATGTAGGAATAAGGCTCTCAGATATACCAGGTTGTCTTATTTAAGTCAGAGGCTCAATGTACCAGTGTTAGGAGAGCAAAGCCCAGGCTTCCGCGTCGTATGTTTTTCCTCACAATCGGACAACAGGAATTTAACATCAGTGTCTTCACACAGAACACCTTGTTTTTTCACACGTGCCCATATTTCGTAGGCGAAAGTTATGTGGAATTCTAGCTAAACATCTGGTAAGGTATGGATATGTTTCTTATTGGTTTAATGATAAATACCAGAAAAACTTCCTGCATTTCAAAACCTGCCAAGAAGGTTTAGGATTTTGTTTCTTGTTTCAAATACCAGATTAGAAAATCTTTCTTCCTGGTGTTGAACTCAACTACGTTTCCTTTAGTGAATCTTCTATTACACAGAGCAGGAGCTACACTGGAAGCACAGAGAATTTTAGCACCAAAGGATAAAGACCCTTCCTGAACACATTTCAGTGTGTACTGTGCTTCGCTCAAGTAATGTAAAGGTCAATTTTGTATATCAACTCAGGGCTGACTGGTTCATGGCAAATTTAGGGGTGGTTTTTGGTTTTTTGTTTTCATTCTAAGGGGTGGGAAATTGTTGCCTTCAATATAAATGTAACTGCCTTCCCACAGAGTTGGCCTCTCTGTTCTCTGTGCTGATGACTGTGTAACTTTAGATCTTTTTCTAAGGTCCTAGAAGTTGTAAGAAATTAAGAATTGTCCACAGCCCCAACAGCATGAAACAATGCACTAACTCTGACAGCATTAAATCTGATCAAATCCATCTTTTTTTTTTTGCATCACCTGAAAGAACTTTAGAAACGACCAGCCCCCCTTTAGCGACTAGCTGTGCTGTCCAACACCTGGATTCCAACAGCAGGTTAGAGTGCAGCTTTCAGGGTCAGAGTAGAACGACTTCATTGTGGTCTGTCTCCTTAGTCCTTCCTTCCTATAAACACTCCGTTTACAAGAAGCTGGGCCTCTTGCAAAAAGGCAAGGATGCATTCATTAAACTTTTGGACTCCGTCTACCTTTTCCCATAAAGCAGAATGTAACTAGAAAGAAGTGGGTTTAGTGAGATGTGACCAATTGCATTTCTGAGTTCCAGGGAGCAGCTCTGAAACAGACCTCACCCAGGGGGGACCTGGGCGAGAAATGCAGGCTTGTTCCCCACGTGGCACGAGCCACAGTTCACACACGTGTTTTTCAGCCTGTGCTCAGCAAGTGTGCAAACAAGGACCACTGTGAGCGGAAACAGCCCTGCTCCCTGTGCATCTGTCATAGAGATCTTAAAATTAAATATTTACGCCCAAGTAAAATCTGTGGGGCGTGTCAAATATTTCCATATTTACTTAGATCACGTTTCTTTCATGTTTTAAATAAAATTATCAGTTAAAAAAATAAAGTAAAAGTGACACATAGTACATTGGGTGGTAGCAGCAGTACGTATTCGCAGACCTGACCCTGACCTTCCCCAGGACAGGGAGAATAAGTTCACCCGAAGTTTCCTCACAACCCCTGCGTCTCCCCCTCACTAAGCGGCCCAGTGCTCAAATCCACCCTCAACATTAGGTTGTATCTGTCCAGATAGTTTATTGAAAACATTGGCAAATCCTTCTGACCCTGGAGGAAAAGAAATCCTGAAAAAATGCTTTAGTGGAGAAAGACTAAGGGCAGGCGGACGTGTTCTTTGGCACCTCTTTCCAAGCTCGTCAGGGAATCCCGGTGGAGGGCTTGTCACCCTGAAGGAAGAGCCTCAGGAGAATACGACTTTCCCAGGAGGCGTAAAAAAACAAACAAACAGTCAAAGCGTAACACTTTGTTCATCTTTCTAATCGTTTACACAAAATTTGGTCCACTTCTTCATTTACCAGTCAGTTCTCCTAAAATAAAAAAAACACAAAACTATCCCTTTGGTTACAGCGATACCTCTTTGGGTATAAGAGCTGAAGCCTTTGTTTTGCTCCTCAGGTAGATTTCTCATTGTCTTCCCCGATCTTCTGAACCCGCGAGTACTTCTTGCACGAAGACTTAAAGCAGCCCGGAGGCCAGGAGAGTGGCCAGGAGAAGCAGCACGGAATCGAGCCTTGGACGTTTTTCTCAAAAAAATAAAAGATGGGGAACCACCACGCACGAGATAAGAAATTAGTCTGTGAAGAGACCTTCAGGTTCTGTAAAAGGCAAGGGGAGAGTGAAATGAGGCATATTTTTCATGCATCCTGACTTTCCCCATCAATTAAACCGTCACTCACTGTAACGGCAGAGGAGCAGCAGCCTCCGGGTCCCAAGGCATACTGTCAGGCGCCTCTTCCCGACCGGATGTGACCTGGCCCCACCCCTCCCAGCCCCTCCGTCTTCCCTCTCGTGGCTCATGCCGATTGCCTGCCTGCAACTCCAGTGACAATGGAGACTGAGGAATGCAGGTGGCAGTTACCCGGGTGGAACAATTTTCAGGAACTGAGTGGTTAGATCTATATATATAAAAGCCTAAGCGACCAGGGAAGAGAGAGGAGAGCTCACAAGGTTGAGCACTTTTAAGAGGAAAGATAAAAGCTTAGTTCTGTGGAGTCAGCTGATAACTAAACAGAAGATGGCAACAGGAGACTATAAAACAGGAAACAGAGCTACAAGGTCCATAGAGAGGGCCCTCATTAATGGGCACCACTCCATGAGAACTGAACTTAGAGCGTTTGGGAAGGACAACATTTCAATCTCTCCCAAATTCTCCATACTCTGCATGCAACAGACAAAATGGCAAGACGACCCCAGGGTAGGTCGTGGCACACAGACTAACTATTGGACATGCACCAAGGCTAGGAAAGCACAGACAGGTCCATAGAGAGGGCCCTCATTAGTGGGCACCACTCCATGAGAACTGAACTTAGAGCCTTTGGGAAGGACAACATTTCAATCTCTCCCAAATTCTCCATACTCTGCATGCAACAGACAAAATGGCAAGACGACCCCAGGGTAGGTCGTGGCACACAGACTAACTATTGGACATGCACCAAGGCTAGGAAAGCACAGGGAGGGGAGGGACAATTCCATCGCGGGACTAGCAGCAGAGAACGAAGTCCGGGAAGGCTTCCCAGAAGAGGTGGCATTGGAGCTAGCTCTCTCAGAACATGTGGGAGAAGAAAAAGTGCATCTGGAAACAGGACGCAGAAGAAATCAGAATAAGAAAGAAGCCAGAGAGCACCACATCACCAAAAGATGTACTAAATCCGGTTAGTCATAAGGCACTTAATTTGCCTGACTTCCAAAAATAGTTGCCAAGTTGTTCTCAAACTTGAGTTGTCTGAAGGCAGGGGTGTTACCTAGCTGCACCTCAGTGCTGCTAGAGAGAAGATGCCTGCATTTTAATTTAGCATATGTACTTCTTTAATTCTCATATAAATTACAGTAGTTGAATTAGTATAACATTGTGCTCTGTAATCATACATTTTTATCCTTAAACTAGAAGCCTGGTGCACGAATTCATGCACGGGTGGGGTCCCTTAGCCTGGCCGGCGATCGAGCCGATTGGGGCCTCAGGAGGTTGGCTGGCTGTGGGGAGGGACCACGGGAGGTTGGCCAGCTGGGGAGGTTGGCTGTGGGAGCACAATGACCACCGGGGGCAGCTGCTGCGTTGAGCACCTGCTCCTGGTGGTCAGTGCACATCATAGCGACCGGTCGATCGGTCGTACAGTCTTTCAGTCGCTTAGGCTTTTATATACATAGATGTTATTTATACTTGGGATGTTCTTTATTTTAAAACGCAATAATGGATATAAGGGTAAGAACTGAACTGAGCTAACCACACACTTGGGCAGCAACAGCAGTCATTCCCACTAAGCCACCAAAACCCCACTGTACGAAAAGGGCTCCCTTGCCTGTAAAGAAGTTACCCAAGGGTCATTTCACCGCTCTCACCTTTTCATTGGCCATTGAATGGTACCACCAGAACAGCCGTGTGGTGATGTAGTAGGCAACGATGACGTCCACCGTGTAGTGCTCGTGAGCTACGAGAATGCAGATGATCCCGGCGGCGCTCAGCAGCCAGCAGACTAAGTGATACCACCAGAAGTGACGAGGCGAGTCTGCAGGGGAGAAAACGGGAGTAATGAGGTTCCCGGAGAGGCGCTTAATGACTAGTCTCTCCTACTGGCCTTAATCAGAATAGTCTGAGGTCAACACGTCTCCGGAAGGGGAAAACTAAGAACCCAAAACGCGGGGCTGTGAACAGCCCAGGGCTCGCTCAGGTAGGAAGGAAGGGGGGAGGGGGCGCCACAGGTAGCAGGACTAAAAGTTGATGACACAATTATTAATAACCCCACTGTCTGTGGGAGCCTAGCCCGGTTGTCAATGAATAGAGACAATGGACTTTGTGTGGTAGCAAGGTTAAAAAAATGTTTTCTCGACCAGCAAGACACAGAGTACCAGGAGCCAGGCTGATTTTATAGGAACCCAGGCCCCATGATAGTATCTGCACAGCTGGGTGAAGCCCTCTGTCGTCAACCTCAAAGTGGTCCTGGTCCCACGTTTTCTGCTCACATGACTGAATTCAAATCCACTCATCACAATGGGACAAATGAGGAGAGAGTCCAAATTGGTCAAAAGGCGGGAAAGCAAAAAATATATAAATGATGCATCTAATTCCAGAAGCAGGCTGTTCAAAGAGACCACTGGAACCACTGCTTACTCAGGACAATAGCACATGTATAATTTAGAAAGTGGCTGTTTTTCCTAATTGCACGGGAAACGGGCATAAACAGGGAGTGCCTTGTTTATGTGGCAAGCTGACTTTAAAGTTGACTTGTGTTAAGGTAACAGATTTGCCATTTTACTTCCCATCAAAGATTGGAACAAGGAGAATGTAATTCTTTCCTTGCTGTATGTAAACTTACACAATTAAAAAAAACCTCAAGCCAGCCCTGGCCGGGTAGCTCAGCTGGTTAGAGCGTCATCCCACCAAGGTTGTGGGTTTGATCCCCAGGCAGGGCACACACAAGAAGCAACCAATGAATGCATCAATAAGTGAAAATGGAACAACAGACCTCTCTCTCTCTCTCTCTCTCTCTCTCTCATACACAAGAAGCAACCAATGAATGCATCAATAAGTGGAAGTGGAACAACAGACCTCTCTCTCTCTCTCTCTCACACACACACACACACACCTATCAATTCCAATAGAATAAGGGCTTCCATCGGTTTCGGGGCCTAGCGAGCCCTCCCACTACAACAACCCATCAAGCGGGAATGAGTTACTTACATTCTTTGATGAACAGATAAGTTAGTGTCAGCACAACCGTGTGACCGCTGAAGAGGAAGTCTCCGCACAAGATGTGCGATCCTGTTATGGACAGTCCTCCACCGGAAATCAACCGCAGGATCCGCTGCACTTTTGCCTGAGAGTCTCCGTTGAGCTGAATGACACAAGAAGATCAGGAGGAAAATTTACAAGCTGATAAAATCGTGTTTCAGCCTAATACATTTATGTGACACTTAGAAAGGTCACCAGGTTGTGACTTTTCTTTTTAACTTAAAAAATCAAAAAGAATCCCAGGGGGGAAGTTCCCCAAACTGTGTTTTATTCATTATATTGGCCAGTTTTCGTGACAGGTTTTGAATTATTCAATATGTTACTAATAATACATTTTGGCGACGTCGTATCCTTGAGCAAAGCTTTTAAAAATATTAATAACAATGACCTCACCACAGCTATGTGCTAAAAAAGATCAAAGCTACCTTCTTCCCTCTTTGCCGGGAGATGTCATGGTTTCGATGGTTAATATTTGATTTAGCTGAATAGCACCTTACTAATATTGAACAGTGTGTTCATACCTTGCGTTAAGTGGGCAGCCCGAGTGTGTGTATGGCTGTATTAATATTTGATCAGACACAGTTAAAAAGGGAAGCTGCAACACTTTAAATAAGTTTGGAAATAATGGATTAGCAACATATTGACAGCTTTAAAAATGAGTAGCCCTGATCAGGCAAAATATCCCTTGAAGATATAACCTGTGTGCGATGGGCAGGAAAGGGCCCCCTTGGGCAAAGACGCAGAAGCCATCATGATGGTATGGGAAACAGTGATGGGCCGGGCAGGAGTTTGAGGCAACTGTCCAGCTTATAGCCATTAAAATGTACGCCTACAAGGAGGAGTGGGCCGAGCTGCTCAGTATGGTGGGTGCAGAAAAGTGGAACACTGACATTCGGGGAGGCCAGAGGGGGGATTTAAGATCAATCTAGAATAAAATGACTATGTTTACAAAAATAAAGGTGATACTCAGAAATAAGACTAAGCAACAGCACATCAGAAGAGAATTACAGACAGAGCACTAATGACTATTTTGGGGACCTGGGGAATAGCTGAACGACAGGCGGCCCTTTGTACTCAACGCCGACGCTCTGGGCAGCTATCCCCACAGCACGGCCAGCTCAGCCACGCTGGCGGTTCGGCTGTGTAGTGGTAAAGACAGGGGAGTCTAGTCCAGGTGGATGTGTGGTGGTGCAGGAGGGGAGACGTGTACAGATGGATGGGAAGAGAGTCTAGGAGCAGGGAAATTAAGGTAGCCTCTAGCACGTGGAAACCCATCCAATCCAGTACAGCAGGAATTGGGGCAGGAGTGGCGGCCTAAAACACCCACAATGGGTGCCTAAACCTTTCCCAATGGATCGCAACCTTATGGGTCTGGGGAGCTTTCTGGTTTTCGGTGAATCTTGTGAAAAAGCCCACACCGCAACTCGTTAACAGTTAAGAAAAAGACGTCACCCAGGGTCACAGGGCAGGCTGGAGACTGGGGTTTTGCAGAAATTTAACCTTCTTCAAAAGTTTGCTTAGGGCAAGTGCAAAAGAGAACTTGTGTACTTTCACCAAGAGTTGACAATTCTTAAAGCAAACATGCCAGAGGTGGTCCTGCCTGGAAGAGACAGGCTGGAGAAGGCGGCAAAGCGCCCAAACCAAGGAAGGCCAGGACAGCTGACAGCTCAGGGCTCGGTTCAGGTGCCGCGCCGAGGCGTGCCGCCAACCACATGCAACTCTGTGCTGAGCTGACGTGGAGGACGCGATCCAGCCACGTGCCTCATCGGATGAACCACAGCCCTTGAGGAATTTGTCGGATGGCTGGTACAAACAACTGTCAACGCTGAGATCACATAAGGTACATACGCTCTGCTCCCAGTTTAAAAGGACGCATTATTCTTTATTTCAAAACCATAATAATTTTTTTTAATTTACTCACTCATCCCAACTCATCACTCTAGTTTTCTAACAGCAGCAATACTTGGAGCCATCACGGGCTAGACGGGCCCCCAGGCACACACAAACCAGGAGCAAAAGCAGGCAGACGCTCTCTCCTCCCTCCCTCTTTCAGCCACGCTGGCGAATGGAGCTCCAGAGCATCCCATTCAATATGCCTCCAAAGAACAGAGGGGGCACTCTCTCCTCGCTGTCTTCTCCCAGGCCTTCATCCCTCAGTGTTGTCACTGTTACCCCAGGTGTCAGATCACACCCAGAATAAACAGAACCGCAAAACAAAAAGTTAAAACAAGAGTGTAGAAAGAATACTGGGAAGTGGGGGGACAGATCTGGAAAATACTGGGCTGTTTTCTAGTTCTGTTCCAGTTCACTGGAACCCCCGCCACACACCCAGTTCCTATTACTTTCCTCATTTTTCAGACACTATTCTATGCCATTACTGCAGGGGTGGGGAACCTTTTCCTGCCAAGGACCATTTGGAGATTTATAACATCCTTCGCGGGCCATACAACATTATCAGTGTAAGCATTAGCCTGCTATATTGGGTCCAACATTAATGAACTCCCCCCTAACACCTTGGCAGGGCCAGACCAAATGATTGCGGCTGCTGGCCAGATGCTCTCCACCCCTGCGTCACTGAATACGGAATTAAAGATGTAGAAAGCTGAGCGGAGAAGCATCAATCATAACAGCCAAAGCAGACGGGGCTCAATGATCTTAAGGGCTCCTCAAACTGTGACCACCACACCCCATTTCCCACAAAAATAAATAAGGTTCAAGAGAGCCCAGCCTGACATCTGCCAATCCGGAAACCTTCCCGTCCACACGTCCCTTCAGCGAAGAGAAGTCCTGCGGCATCTGCAGCCAGGGTGGCCGGGAGCTTTCTCAGGGAAGGGGCTGTATCTGTGCCAGCCCAACATTCTTGTACGTGGCCAAATGGGCTTAGAGCGCTACATAATTTCATGCGCCATTTATTTAAACACACTTTTCAGAACAAAGATTTTGTGACGGCAAACAAAAGCTTGGGTTGGTGGCTTAAAGCAAATCATACACAGAGGACTTAAGGGAAACCAGAGGCAGCTGGAAGACTGTGAGCGCCAGGGTTTCACCAGGGACCCATAGCTGTGATGGCTCCTCGGCGGGCGGGGGCGGGGCCACATCCGGCGAGGGGCAAGCCATGTTAGGCCTCAGTGACTAGACCTGACATCTTCCCATAGCAAGTGGTTTCAGTACACACAGCTCTGTCGTTGCCTGTCGTCACGAAGGGTGTTCCATAGAGTCAGTGACAAAGGAGGCAGGCAGGTTACCTGATAGCCCGGTAACCGCAGTCTACGGAGCACTGGGAGCCACGTTCAGAATGCAATTCTGACTCCTGTTCTAACACAACCATCGATCATGTTTATCGAACAAAGTGACCCTGTTTGCCTCACTGAGTCACACGTCAGGCACCGAGAGCCTGCTCGTACTTCAGGAACGCGGGAGCTGGTTAGTGAGGACGCCGCCAGAGCTCCCCCTGTATTTGTAGCTGGGTTAGCCAGGGCCATGCTTACTAATGTGGCTTCTGAAAACTGCAGCTCCTCCACCGAGGATACTTTCTGTCCGTAATCATAGCGTTTCACCCCTGCAAACCTCACCCATTACTAGGATGCTTGCCTTTTTTTCCTGTGGCCATGTCTTCATTTAACCCATTGCAATAACCCCTTAGAAATGTTTATTATGTTTCTGAACTTCTCTTGTGCCTGAATTTAGCTTCACTAAAAAATCAGCCAGTGTTTAAATTCAACATGTACACTGTTTTAATCACAGACACTTTCTGCTTTGATGGCTTTGGAAAATTACAGCTTCTCCAAACCACACCTATATTTGGGGAGGGAGACTGTTGACTACTTCACAACAACTCTATTTTTCCTTCCACCTTGGACATCTGCTTAGTGTTCAGTGAAATACGATGTTAGACTTCATTCCCCTGTCCAGAGAGCACAGACAGGATTTGTAAGTCTCCTTTGATATAAACCAGGGTGCACTGGGGTCCAGGATGATGAAAAGCTCTCTCGAGAAACAACTCTCCCTAGAGAAGCTGTAAATCCTGCTTAAGACAGTTTCAGTGTCTCTCACTGTCTCACAAAAGGCCCCTCTGCCTTTTCAATTGCTGAAAACTGGGGTCATCCTTCACTTCTTTCTCTTAAAGCCGTATCCAACTTATTAACACAACCAGTCGTCCCCACCTTCAACATGTCCCAAAGCGAATGACTCCTCACTTGTTACTCACTTGACACGACCATGGTTCAAGTTCATACAATGGCCACAAGGCCCCATGGGATCTGTGGCTGCACCACCTTGACCTACACAGTTCCACCAGCCGCACTGGCCTCTTTGCGCTCTCTCTCTCTCTCTCTGACGCTCTGTGACTGAGCTATTTCCTTGGCCTGGGGCTCTCACCCCATCCATAGAGCTCCCTCCCTCATGTGATTGCTGCCCTGATGCTTTCTCATTAAAGAAGCTTTCTGACCCCCCTTGTAAACTAATACCTACCTTCACAGTCCCTTTCACTCTGACTCAGGTTTACCACGCATCTGATAGCCCCCTGGCTTATCACCATGTGACAAGTTATACAGTTCTTTTTAAAAATATGTTTTTATTGATTTTATAGAGAGAGAAAGGGAGAAGGATAGAGAGACAGAAACACTGATGAGAGAGAATCTGCTGCCTCCTGCATACCCCCACTGGGGATCAAGCCCGAAATCCAGGCAAGTACCCTGACTGGAATCCAACTGCAATCCCTTGGTGTATAGGGTGATGCTCAATCACTGAGCCACACTGGCCGGGCACAAGTTATACATTTATCAGTTGTCATCCCTCAATAGAATGTAAGCTGTAGGGGAAGAACTGTTTTAGTCACTGCTGTTACACAGTGCCTGGGACATAACAGGAGCAGAGCACTTGCAGAATGAATGCATAAGTAAGTAAAGGTACAACAGCGGAGTCAAATTCCCAATAGCAACTTTCAGGTAGTAGAAAATGAATTTTTTATGTACAAAGATATACATTTTATGAACACATTTTAATTTTCTTACCCCTAAATCTAAAGAAAAACAGAAAATATCCCATATAATAAAAGCCTAATATGCTAAGTGCCCGGTCGTCCATTCAACCAATCAAAGCGTAATATGCTAATGATATGCTAAGGCAGCTCAACCACTCGCTATGATGTGCACTGACCACCAGGGGGCAGACGCTCTGACCGGCAGGTTAGCTTGCTGCTGGGGTCCAGCAGATCGGATTGAGTGAGACGGGCCAGACATGCCCTGGAGCCCTCCCGAGGTCCTGGTTTCGGCCCAATCCCACAGGCCAGACCAAGGGACCTCATTGGTGCACAAATTCATGCACCAGGCCTCTAGTCCTAAATAATATTTCAGTTAACACATGAAAGTGTTCTGAAGATTATAACAGAGAACAGATGTTTAATAAGTGTTTTCAATCAGAGGTGCTTACCTTCGGAGCACACTGGAAATGCATGCCAGGCACAGGCAGCGTAGTGACATACATGGTAACACAGCGGTACAGGTATAATGTTCCGATGATAAAAAAGAACCTGCGCCCCACTATTGACCTAAGGGAATAAGAGGGATGGGGGAAAACAGGGTTACTCGCTGTTTCTGTTCCTAATGTTACGTAAAAGAGTGCTTGACAGAATAAAAAGTAACACAGAATGGCATTAACAGACCGCAGTTTCACAGCTTATTTCTGAGCTGCCCCTCCTTACAATTCCACAGAGCGGCTGCTCCGCAGTCTTCACATGCTGTAATCAGTCTAGGTGGTCTGGGCCCTAAAGGAGTTGAGTTTGTGGGGACTGAGGGTTCTAGAAAACCACCTCTCCAAAAGAAGTCACTCTTTGAGAGAAAATTCAATGAGCCTGTCTGTTTCCAGTCAACTCAGTGCATTATAGAACCCTCTCGGGAACATACCAAAGGTATAAGCAACCCACGGCCACTGAGGAATTAACAAATGAGCTCAGGTCATGCCACATAATTGGACACACAGGGAAACGGGAGAACTCATTAAACCTGTTATATAAGAAACAAGAATTATTTGGGGACCATCCAACAGTATTTTGACAACCTGGGCATTGACTTTTGTCTATGACTACACTATAGATTTTCAGAGAATATGCTGAAGATATTCAGAGTATCCTCGTGCATTTAAGAATATTTAATAATAAAGTTATAAACTGATTAGTCTACCCTTATTCAATCTTGACCAAAAGAGCCAAAAATAAACAAAAGCACCACAAGTTCTTTTTCACTTTATCATTTTTGGTGGAGATCGCTGTCTTGACCGACATTAGCCGGTCCTACACCATCCACGTCCTCGGTCTAAGGCAGTGGTTCCCAGCGGTTGACCTTGAGCACACTATCTGTACCACTGCCGCAAAGGTACCAAATGGGCAGCAAGGGTTCTGAGTAGCCTCACTTGCAGGTGAAGACGGAAACTCCTCTTCTGTTGTGTAGTTCGGGGGTGGGTCTACAAACTCTGGGCTCTGGGGATTAAGAGACCGGTGGGATCCCTAGAATTACTAGTTGGAACTTCCCTAGTACACACACTGTATTATTCCAGGTCTCCCATTTTCAGAGCTATCAAACTTCCAAAGCTGGTAATGGCCAGACTTCTGGACAAACAGGCAGTTTGAGGCATGTGGCATATTTTTATGTATGTATGTATGTATGTATGTATTTTAATCCTAACCAGAGGACATGCTTATTGATGAGAGAGAGAGAGATTGATTTTAAGTTTTCTACAAGACTGCGGTCTGAAATATATCAGGTAACTGCTGGGGCTTCTCTTTTAAAGAATCATGGACAAATATATTTTTAGAACCTTATTTCCAGTACCTATTTTAAGAATATTCCAGGGTTTCTGGGGTCAAAATAGAGAGGAACACCACCTTGAGGAGTTGATGAAAGTATGCATTTATTGCAAGGCTCTGCTTTCAAAGGCTTGCTATTCAGGCTCTGCCTTTTATAGCACTGAAAAGGGACAGGGGATAGACACTGCGGAGTCTCTCCATTTGGTTGAGTGAAAGATGATTCACGTTTTGATTCAACCCCAGGCCCTCAAAGAGGGCTGAGCTGTGCTCCATGTGCTAGACAAAGGGAAGTGATAAGCAGGAATTACATGAGTCAATTATACTCATTCCAGTGTTCTGAGTTCAGCTGTAGAGAAAATTAGCTAAGAAGGGAAAGCATGCCCTCTGCAGCCTTGTTTAGGAAAAGAGCTACAACCAATGACTTTTCCCATAGCTATGAAGGTGTTTGACAGAGAGAGAAAGAGAGAGAGAGAGAGAGAGAGAGAGAGAGAGAGAGAGAGAGAGAGAGAGAAAGAAAGAGAGAGAGA